ACAGTAAAATGGTTTTAAAACCAGCGATAAATTAAAAGTAATTTCAAGTAGCGAGTGGACAGAAACAATAATTGCAGCTGCTTCGCAATGGACCCTTCCGAGCAGTCTCCCGATCGAAGTTCCCATTCTGACCGCCACCATTGTCACCATCGCCGTCAGACTTCAGAAGATGCCATCATTTCCTTCAATGAATATATCAGGCGCATGTTTGAAAATTTGTTTCGCGGGCTGGAGCAGCAGTACCGTCAGATTGGAACAAACTATGGAAGTGGTGCAGTACAAAGTACACAGGGATATGATTGTAGTTTTGGAAATTTTGGACAGGTTTGTCGCACTGGTTCGAGAATCAACAGCGAGATTTCTCATAAGATCCGATAGCAGGCTGCTGTTTTTTCGAATGCAGTCCATAGTATATTACTGTAAGGATGTAAGAGACTAAATTTGCGAAGCTTTCAAATTTATTAATTATTCACCGTCAGATTGTGAACAACGCTACGGAATTTGCGGTCGAAATGAACGTTGCGCAATTTCGTCCAGAAGATTTGAAAGTGAGCCTGCGAAACGATGAGCTCATCATTGAGGGCCATCAGAAGCAGCAGCGCGACCAGTACGGTACTGTTGAGAGACACTTCGTGCGTCGCTATGCCATTCCCGACGATGTCGATCGGACTACACTGGCATCCAATATAACCGGTGATTAAGAGCCGTTATTTTGATATTCAAAGTTAAAAAAATCATTAGCGGCCCTCATCGGACACACCCATGCGATCATGCGTTTTTGCAGTATTTCGTGCTGTAATGAGATCGCTCGGAAATCTAGTAGCTAGGATTTGTAACATACTGGTCCTCGAAGTTCGAGAAGTGTAATTATCTACGCTGTACTCGAACAGGGAACAATCCGTTAAAATTTCAGCTTCCTAACTTCTCAGGTTCTTGAATTAGCAATTTTACTGCCAAAAAATTTCATGGGTCCGTAAATAAGAACCACGCATATCTGGGAGCTTTAACTTTTAAGTAGGGCTGGAAACATACCCTTAAACCTTTAATCCCTAGCTTTCCTATTTCCCGAGATAGCAATTTTCCACTAAAAATTTTTACAAAGCCGTACATGATAATTACGAATGCCTAGGGACTGAATTTGTTTAATTTATTTTGTAGTTGCTGGGAACATTCCCTGAGAATTTCAGCTTCCTAGCTTTCTCTGTTCCCTAGTTAGCCATTTTCCCGCCAAAAAATTTCACGGGACAGTATGTAAGAACAACGTATGCTTGGGACCTGAGTTCGATGAAGTACTTGTCCTGGGAACATTCTCTGAAAATTTCAGCCTCCTAGCTTTCCTGGTTCCCAAGTTAGCGATTTTCACGCCAGGAACCCTCACGG